TCCCCAGAACCACTGCTTAAAGGAAGGTGAATCCAACATTTATTGAGCCCCACCTGCCATCCTATTTAATCCTACGCAGCAGGGGTCATCCTTATTTCTTATGTAAGAAAATTAAAGCACAGAATGATTAAGTACTTTGCCCAAGGTCACACAGCTAGTAAGAAGATTCAAACTTTGGTTTCCTGGCTTTGCGTCTCTTGTGCTATGCAACTTTGTCTTTTTCTCTCGTGGGAAGGTCCTTTAAGAGGTGGCTAGGGAAGATGTGAGTCATTTACAAAGGATGTCATGTCATTAAGAGGATGACAATTGCTTAGGTGATGGAAATGGAGAATTTTCTGGTCAAAGCAATGGTGTCTTAGCTTGGGCTTCTATGACAATACCATAGACGGTTGGCTTAAACAATAGACATTTACTTCTTATAGTAATGGTGGCTGAAAATCGGAGATCAGGGTGACAGCACGGTCAGGTTCTAGTGAGGACTCTCTTCCAGACACTGGCCTCAAGTGTTAGCATCCACACCTGTGAATTTGGTTCCCATCTGTATGCATCTGACCCCTACTCCATGTCCTCTGCATCATATCTCTTTCCCTGAGCACTAGATCTGTAGTCAAGTGAGTCCTGAACAACCAGGAAAGTGCCTCAGCTCAACACGCACAAAGCTGACTTCATCACTCTGCACTGGGAGTCTCCTCCTTGTTTACCATTGCAGTTGGTAACAACACCATCCACACTGTGCCCCAGTCTGGAAACACATTATAATTATAGCTGCTTCTTACTGAACGCTTATTATTTGCCAGTCACTGTGCCAAATGTTTTCCAGAGTTCTTCATTTAAGCTTCATAAAAACCATATGTTGTAGGCATTATCATCCCCATTCCATGAATACAGAAACATGAGGTCAAGATGATTAAGGACTTGCCCACGGTCCCACAGTTACTAGTGGGCAGAGATGGTATTCAGCCCCAGTTCCCTTTGGCTCCAAAGCCTGTGCTTAACGTTAGGTCACACAGAGAAGGCGCATATACAGGGGCCCACAGACATGTTTTACTTGCCCGAGAAATGACTTACCAACAGCATTTTAATGTGTATTTATTTTTGAGAGAGAGAGAGAGAGAGAGAGAGCGCTCCAGAGTGTGAGTGGCAGAGGGGCAGAGAGAGAGGGAGACACAGAATCTGAAGCAGGCTCCAGGCTCTGAGCTGTCACAGGGTTCGAGCCCACAAGCCAGGAGATCATGACCTGAGCCAAAGTCGGGTACTTAACTGACTGAGCCACCCAGGCGCCCCCCTCCCCCGACTTACCGACATTTTAAAATAGGAGGGGTTCAAACAAGAATCAAGATTTCAGATATTTCTTGAACATTCAGAAGATCTGGCAACTGGATCCACCTTCCAAATGGCACGGTTGGCCTCAGGTGAGTGACAGCCACCCACTTTGGAATGCACTCCAGGAGCACGCGTGCCGCAGTTTGCCACCGTCCCTCCCGCTCCTTGCTGTCTGTCTTCCGACAGCCCCACTTCCTTCATCAACACTACCTGCCTGACCCCTGCTGACGTTTGAATTTTTGGCTCCTGTTACCTGGTTTCTCTTCTCTTTCTTTTCCCCGCCATCTAATTGGTGCCTGAACTGACGGTGTTGCTTGTGAAAGCATTTATTGTCGGTCTCACATTCTTCATCCCTATTGCTGCAAATTGTTCCTCATAACCTCTCACCCCAATTACGCCGGCAAACACCTGGTTTCCTGTCTCCGGTCTTGACCACCACTAATTCGCCCTCCACATTGCTTGCAATTAGGGATATCAACAAAACGTGAATAGATGACGTCCTATGGCTTCAGAATGAAAGGCGCCCTCGTTACTGAGGCACACAGGACGGTTTGTGCTCTGGCCTCTGACCAGTGCCCTCATTTATGTTGACTTTCCCACACTCCTCTTGGCCTTATTGAGATATGGGCTCGCCCCAGTCACGACCCTTCGCATCTCCTTGCGTATTTACTATCTTTCTTTCTACTTGGGATATTCTATGTGGATTATGTAAATATCTGTAATGGAGTATATGGACTTGAATCTCGTGATTGCCTTTCTAAACTTTGTGTTGTTGCTTTTTTTAAATTGTGACTTGATCGATCAGTCTCCTATTTCTTTCTCCATCAGGGTACACACAGGATAGAAAACATGAGTCTTGGTTGTGTTTTTAGATCCCGACGGCTTAATTGGCCCATTGCTGATTTCTGCACAGAAATCTTCTGTGCAGTAAGAGCTCAGGCGTTGAATCCCAGCTCTGCCCTCTACTAGCTACAGAGACCTCCCCAGGCTACTTCATGTTTCTAATGTCTCATCATTAAGTAGGGTTACTAAGAGTTCTTTTATCATACAGTTAGGGCGGGCTTAGATGACATAATGCACGTAAAGGCTTAGCACCAACTGTGCACGTGAGCCCCCAGTGGATGTCATCTGTTGTTATTATCACCATTTTTATTGAATTCATTTATTCCGCATTAGATCAGGAGCGGTTTTGGGAGTTTTGCTACATATCCTTTTAGAACTCCCAACAACTTTATGAAGAACATAATTTCAGCTCTTTTCTGGCGGAGGCAGCAGGTTAGAGAGGTCAGGCTTGCCTTGGTCGCTGTTTGTCCTATGGCAATACGTATTAAGTATCTCCTTTTCAGTCGGAGTAAAATGGAACACATCTCATGAAAGATGGAGTTATATTCCACTCTAGGCCATGAAGGGACTCCTTGGGGAGTTCAAGGGTTATTAAAACTGATGTAGTACATTTTTAATATGATCTCTAAAATTAAAAAAAAAAACTACTGGGAACTTTATAAAATGTTGAATAGTATTGGATTTTGAAAAAAAAATTTTCTATTCTGTTTGGAAAACTACCAGGTTGATTATGCCTATTTATGAGGGATGCTTCAGATAATTAAGTCTGGGAGCTATTTTTGTTTGTTTAATATATTCACCATGTCTTTAACGGTAACAACAGAAATTGCCAGCATTGCTAGGAGTTCTGCGTGAAGATGGGGAAATACAAACTTAAATGTAGACAAGATAAGTTGAAGAGAATATTGGAATAAAAACTATTAGTAAAATTATTTAACTTTTGTTTCTAAAATTTGAACAACCTTCATTTAATTTTCAAGCTGCTCTTAAACTGGTAGAGGAAGGCTAGGTTTTACTAAAGCATTGTCAAGTCTCTGCATGGACACACAAACCTACAGACCCACATATACGTACATACATTTTTTTAAATTGAGAAATACTGAAACATACATACAGAAAACAGAATAGAAATCACCCACATAATTAGCACATTTATTTTATTTATATATATTTTAAAGTTTATTAATTGGGGTGCCTGGGTAGCTCAGTCGGTTAAGTATCCGACTTCAGCTTAGGTCATGATATAGCAGTTCGTGGGTTCAAACCCCGCATTGGGCTCTGTGCTGACAGCTCAGAGCCTGGAGCCTGCTTTGGATTCTGTGTCTCTCTCTCTCTCTGCCCCTCCCCTGCTCATGCTCTGTCTCTCAAAAATAAATAAACGTCAAAAAAAAAAAGTTTATTTATTTTAGAAGGAGGGCATGTGTGTATGCAGGGAAGGAGCAAAGGGAGAGGGAGAGAGAATCCCAGGCTGGCTCCGCACTGTCAGCACAGAGCATGACTCGGCTTGAACTCACGAACCGTGAGATCATGACCTAAGTGGAAATCAAGAGTTGGACGCTCAACGACTAAAGCACCCAGGTGCCCCCACAATTAGCACGTTTAATATTTTTAAAAATTTTAATGCTTTATTAAGGTACAATTTAGATATCATAAATTTCATTCATCTTAGGTATACACCTCAATGCATTTTAGTAAATGTATCACCGCAATGCAATATTGGAACATTTACATCAACCCCAAAGACTGCTCATGGTCAAAGTCAGTCCCTCTTCCCACCCAGCCCCAGGCAAGCACCGATCTGTTTACTGTCTAGGTTTGTTTTTTCTGGACATTTCTTATAAGTGGAGTCACACAATATGTGTTGGGTTTTTTTAATGTTTATTTATTTATTTTTGAGAGAAAGAGAGTGTGTGAGCAAGCCTGGGGGTGGGGGCAGAGAGACAGAATCCCAAGCAGGCTCCACACTGCCAATGCAAAGCCCAAGCCACGGCTCATCCCCACAAACTGTGAGATCATGATCTGAGCCAAAATCAAGAGTCGGAAGCTCAACTGACTGAGCTGCCTAGGTGCCCCTTGCCCCTGTGTGTTGTTTTTTTAACTGCTTTCTCTTAGCTGGTGTCATTTTTTGAGGTGCAGCCACACTGTAGCAAGAGTAGAAGCTTAGCTCCCTTTTACTGCTGAGTAATATCCCATTCTGTGGATACAACACAGCTTATCCATTATGGTAACCAGCTTGAAAAAAGGTGTATATTCAAGAAACCGCTAACCGTGGCTGCTTCTAGAGAAAAGAATGGGGTGTGAGGGATATTGGTGGGAGATTTTTTTCATTGTTTACTTTTTTATATGGGTTTAACTTTTTAAATTCAGAATTACATCTTTTTTGAAGCAAAGCAAGGGATGTCTTTCCCCCAGCAATGTGTATGAAATAAGAGAAAGCCCTCCACTTACCCCAATCCCACTTTCCTGAAGGTAATCATCATTAATTTATGTTTGGCATCTTTCTAGACTCTACAGACACACACATACATATACACCTGTTTACTTGTAAATACTTTCATGTCCCCGTATGTCTGTACATCTAAGTAGTCCTGTGTCTTACATTCCAACAAACTGGAAACACGAGCTTAATATTTTAACCCACCCTCTGCAAAGCTAAGAAAACCTGCCTTACCCGGGTCCTTGGGTGATCCGAATGCGGAAGCCATTAAATGCATTGATCAGTTCACAGTGGGGGAAAAGTGAAGAAGTGTGGACCCGGTCTCCTAGCAATTCTGTGTGAACACAGTTTAATTTTTATTTTTTTAATCCTTCCCGGGGTCTGTGTTTTCCGGCAGGGTACTTCGGATCGGCCTGCGAAGAAAAGGTGGACCCGTGCGCCTCGTCACCGTGTCAGAACAACGGCACCTGCCACGCGGACGGCGTGCACTTCACCTGCAGTTGCAGCGCGGGCTTCACGGGGCCCACGTGCGCCCAGCTGGTGGACTTCTGTGCTCTCAGCCCCTGCGCGCACGGCACCTGCCGCAGCGTGGGCACCAGCTACAAATGCCTCTGTGACCCAGGTGGGTTCCCTCGTGCACCGCAGGTCTTTTCTGTCTCCAGTCTCAGACTTGTAACTCGTCGTTTGCATCCGAGCAGACGTTGGCTCGTCGGGTGCGTTCGCTTGTACGTGTAAATGAACACCGCTCGTTTATGACACACTTTCTCTTTAGGCTTATGGTTGGCAGGGCTCGTGTTTTTTTCTTTGTTTTTTGTTTTTTGTTTTTTGTGTGTTTTTTTTCAGTTAATTGTTTTTATTTATTTTTTTCATGTTTTAAATATAATTTATTGTCACACTGGCTTCGATACAGCACCCAGTGCTCATCCCAACCAGTGCCCTCCAAAAAACACCCTCTCCCTCTTCGTGAGCAGTTCACAGTCATTGCGGAAAAGTAAGAAAATCCAAGTAAGCAAAATGAGGAAAATTAAAAACAGGCTTAATCTCATAACAGCTTAATTATTTTTGAACGATTTACTAGAGGTCACTCCAGAGCTTTTACTGGATTCTGTGTCGTTTAATACTGTGTTCTTAGGTTAATGGAGAGTGCTTTTCCATCCTAATAGGCATAAAAAACAGGACGCAATCCATTTAGAATTTTCTCATCTATTTAAATTCTTCCTCTGTGCACAGTATGTGTCATGGGACCTGTGACGCCCTGTGCAAATGTGCGAAAATCCCATCATTTATTTTCCAAAGATCCTCTGCATTTGACTGATTTTTTTATTATTGTACATTTTGCTACTCCGAAGTCAGAGTGGGTCACCAGTCAAAATGTGTATCCGCACAACCTACCTGTGTGGTCTGGAAAGAACACACGTGGGCAGCTCTTCTGTGTCCCTTGTCTCCTGCCTGCGTCTCCACACGTGCATGAGCTAGCCCTACAGAAGGCTTTGAAGCGTGATTCCTCTCACAGGCGCCTGGCCCGTCAGCGTGGCGGCCACTTCCCCGGTTTTGCTCGAGTCCTGGTTCTGCTCGTGCCTTCCGCCCAGATGCCTGCCCCTGTCACCCCGTTTCACCCGTCATCTTCCCCTGGGCTGAATCAGCTTTCCGCCCCCTGAAGTCCAACAGTCGGGGCACCTGGGTGGCTCAGTCGGTTAAGCACCTGCCTTCAGCTCAGGTCATGATCTCTCGGTCTGTGAGTTCGAGCCCCCCATCGGGCTCTGTGCTGACAGCTCAGAGCCTGGAGCCCGCTTTGGATTCTGTGTCTCCCTCTCTCTCTGCCCCTCCCTGGCTCGTATTCTGTCTCTCTCTTTCTGTCTCAACAATAAACATTTAAAAAAATTATGAAGTTCAACAGTCACCTTCAATATCAGTTGTCTGGTCTTTAAAACATATTAATTGTCTTTGCATGTGTCTCTCTCCCCACTGGGGGTAGGAGGAAGTTATTTTATCAGTAACCTTGTAGCAGCCCCAAACCGCCATGTAGTGAGCACGAATCTTCCTAGGTTTTTGGTGTTTCACATGTCTGGTCCTTTCAGTGCCCTCCCTGCAAGGTAGATGGCGTCAAGCCACATCTATTAAATGCCTCCTGTTTGCTTCAGTCATATCCCGGTGGCCACATACCCAGAAGGGGACTGAATGCAGATTCCAACCCAGGGGCCGTGGCTCCATGCCCAGAACATGCTAGGGGCACATCTCATACTCATGAGTCAATGCAAGGAATTAGTAGGAATTGCAACTAAGCATGGAGGGGGGTTGAAAAACCTTTCTCATGTAAACTTCTAGTCCTCTGGTTTTCTTCTAAAACATTTTTTTTAATGTTTATTTATATTTGAGAGAGAGAGAGAGAGAGAGAGCGCGCGCCAGTGTGAGCAGGGGAGGGGCAAAGAGAGAGAGGGAGACACAGAATATGAAGCAGGCCCAGGCTCTGAGCTGTCAACACAGAGCCCGATGCAAGACTCAAACTCATGAGCCATGAGATCATGACCTGAGCCCAAGTCGGACTCTTAACCGACTGAGCCACACAGGCTGCCCTAGTTCTCTGGTTTTCTAAGAAATCATGGGATTGACATTTTATGCGATGACATTATATATATATATATGATGATGTACATAGGTAACGGAGAGAAAAACAGTACATATTTGGAGAGAACAAAAGAGAAATATTGAGAGATAGTGACTGACTTTAAATCGGCTCATGTAATTGTGAGAACTGGCAGGTTTTAAATCTTTAGTGCAAGCTGTCAGGCTGGAAACTCAGGCAGGGTGTCTGTGTTACAGCCTTCTCAAGAAACATCAGTCTTTGCATTTAGGCCTTCAGCTGGATCCATTGATCCAATTCTGATGATCCGATGATCCAGTTCTCATCGACTGGATGAGACCCTCCGGCATCTTGGAGGGTAATCACTTGACTCAAAGTCTGCTGCTTTTTAAAATACTAATCTCATCCAAAAAGTACCTTCACAGCAACTTTGTGTTGGACAAAATATTTGGGTGCTGTGGCTTAGCCAAGTTAACACGCGAAATTAACTATCACAGTAACATTTTTGGGTTTCCCATTAAACGTCGAGGTGAAGAAGGTTCTCCACTTCTGTGGATGCCATGAGATGCCTTTTCTGTGCTTACACCCGTGCTGTCCTGTCAGAGCCCTGGTGGAAACGGGAATGGCTTTCCCAGTGGAGGGCCAGTTTTCTTCCACATGCGTGGCAGTGTGTGTGTGCCGTGGAATGGGCCATGCCGAGGAGGAAGCCCCGTGGTACCCTTGCCTGCTGGGAGTACAGAGCTCCGAGACCACTGGCCTTGCAAACAGAGCAAGCACCTGTTGTGCCGGGAAGAACAGTGTCACTCATGCCGTGACTCACGGGTGTGCCGCTCCCAGCCCTGAGCGGGTCAGAACACAGTCTGCGATTCCCCTCGCCAGCCAGAGGGAGCAGGATCTCTCCGTCGGGATCTTCCTCAGTAGTTCATTCCCAGTCTCCCGAGCGTTCTGCTTCCTGCAGGGAAGGAAAAATCAAACATTACCAACCCAGAAACCAGCCTTGTTTTCCCCTCCTCTTCTCCTCAGACTTCCTTTCTTAATCATGTTAAAATTTTCTACTTAGTTGGCTTACTTTTATGTTTGTTTGTTTGTTTATTTATTCATTTGTTTATTGTTAGAGAGAGAGAGAGTGCAGGGTAGAGGGGCAGAAGGAGACAGAGAGAGAGAGAATGAGAGAGAGAGAATGAGAGAGAGAGAGAGAGAGAGAGAGAGAATCTTAAGCAGTTTCCATGCTCAGCATGGAGCCTGACACAGGGCTTGATCCCATGACCCTGGGATCATGACCTGAGCCAAAAATCAAGAGTTGGATGCTCAATCTACTGAGCCACCCAGGCTCTCCTAGTTGGCTTATTTGTCACACTTTAAATGGAATGTAGTTACTTAATGATAAATGCTACTTTGTGTGGCTTGATAGTATTAAAATGTTGTTTAATACTATGGGGTAGAGTTTATCAGCATGTAAGAGGGGGCTTACATGGGTCCTAAACAGAAAATAGATTTCCTGGTCTTTTCTCTTTCCACACTGGGAAGTGAGAACCTGTCTGTGAGATCCCCTCCCATTGACTCTCACCACAGGAAACTGACAGGACATCTCTGGGCCACAGTTTTTGTTTTTATGAATAGCATCTTAGATGCTCATCATCTCAACTGCACTTGTTGTCACAGCCTAGGTGGGGACAAGTTGCTGACTGTGGTCTGCTGTGTGTGTGAGGGCATTAAATGAGAGGCATGCGACACATTTCCTGGCATGGAGTAGCTAAGAGCTCTTCCCCTTTCTTTCCATCCATGGACATTCCAGCATTTCCTCTTAAGCCGCGGAAGGGTAAAGTGTCTCCTGTTTAAATACCACTTTCTCCTCCTGCTTTCTACTCACACTTCCTTCCCGGCCAGCTGGAGCATTTAGCTTGGTAATAGTGGATGTCTAGCCACTGAACGAAGAAGCATGTATTGCCTTCCACGGTTCCTTCAGTTATTAGGCGGTGTCCCCGGGGTAGAGCCTTGGAGTTCTGTCAGAGTGTTCTCTCATCGGACTTGGGAGATAAAACTGCTTTCAGAGGGTTTGCTTCCTCAGATCATTAGGTGACATTGTGTGAAATAAAAAAGGCATCTTAACATCTGGCAAGAATTTACATTTTAAGAGGTGAAAATGACAATTCTCTGAATGTGAAATTTTTAGTCTTAATCTTTTGGAGCATGTAATTGCTTTACCACTAGTTTGCATAATAGAAGAATCTCGTGAGAATAGGTGAAATTGGGTGTCTAGCTGAAAAGCGGCAATCCTGATCATCTTTATAGAGAGCAAACCGATCCCATTTCATAAAATGACAGCAGATTGAAATCATGTCAGGTTGATAATTAGTTCCCATCTGACAAAATGCCTTTTGGGTGACTGCAAATCAGACTTGCCAGGTGCTTTGTTTTCAAACCTCATTTTTAGCTTATCAGGCTAGGGATTTCTGATGGGATTTTAATATTAAATAATAAAATGTCAGCGCTGAGTAATCACTGAAATATTATCTTGCGGTGACAATGTTAAGTGATAGGCCACACGTGCTCTAAAAAAATTGCAAATTGAAATCTCCCGAAGACTGGAGAAGGTGAGAGCGTGGAGCCCTGCAAACACTGTAGCAGGTGCCACGGTGGGAGGAACTTGTCGGGGGGCATGCTATTGTCCTTGCAGGTGGGAGCCGTGGGGTCTCATGTGTTCTCAGTGCCATGGTGGCATCTGGAGATGCCATTTGGATGATGACCAACACTGGAAGGAATCCCTGGTTGGAGATGGTTTGCCCGAATTCATCAGTCTTGCCCCTGTCTCATGAAATTGTGTTATTACTCTGACCTTGTTAGTTGAACTGAATTAACCGTGCCATTACAGAGTGTGCCTTAAGTTACTATTTAAGGAATTTAAAATATAAGGCATCAGAGGATTTTTACATGGAAAAAGCCAGTTTTTTTTAAAAAACGTTTTAACGTTTATTTATTTTTAAGAGAGAGACACAGAGCACGAGCTGGGGAGGCGCAAAGAGAGAGGGAGACACAGGATC